GCAGCGTTTATTTATTATAACTACCATGCTTGAAACGTCGTGCTATTTCCAATACTTACTCAGGATAACGCTTACCAAACATTTCCTACAATATACCACACTTATCAGCCATAGCACGGTTTATCTATTTATTTTTTGTAAGTTTTATTCGTATCCCAATCGAGGTATGTCTAGTATTTTATGCACAGATGAATTATTTATATTTATTTATTTAATTAATTAGTTAGAGTTCTCGGCGATCTCGTCTAGAATGCGTATTTCTGTGATTGTTCCATGCGTGTAGTCAAACTTATGCTGTCCACGTTGCTATCGCCAAACAACCTCAACGCAAGTCACGGATGGAAATTGTTGATGACATTCGTCACTAGTAAATGCTTTCAGTAGTCTTTAACGTTTTAGCATGACGGAAGTTTGTAGAATTTGTTTTTCAGACACTCACTTATTGTTCGACGCTAGTAAATGTTTTCAGAAGTCTCATCGTTATATATTTGTTTACATGCAACATCTGAAAACCAATGGATTGATGAAAGAATCAAGGACCAAAGTTTAGTGTTTTTTTTATTTGTTCGACGCTTTTTTTATTCTTGCCCGATGCTAGTAAACTTTATCAATAATCAGGAAAAAAGTTTGTTTCCACTCAACACTAAAAACATCTTTGAGACACCAACGCCGGTAAATAGTTCCAGTTGTCCACATCATTTTATCTGCGTTTACATATGACATGAGAAAAACGGACAACTGTTACTCTGGATAGTGAAAAAAACAGGAGAAAAAGTTTGTAGAATGTTTGTTTGTTACTCAACACTATAATCGTCATCAAACCACCAAATTGTTGTTCGACGCTAGTAAATGTTTTCAGTGGACTGTGAATGAAAATAGAGAAGTGGACAGCGAGGCGTAACCTCAACTGATTGTTTTGATGAACAGAGCTGAACTATCTGTAATGAACTAATGTGTATTCCTTTGGGACGAATCTACGCACGGTTTAAAACCGTGATCTACGCGTAAGCGTTGTTAGCTAAGCAAGGCAAAGCTCCTCGAACACAACGCAAAACAGGAATGTGAACGAACGCAGAACAGACGTTTTTGTTCAGTGTTTTTTTTATTTGAATTTTACGCATGAAAGACGGACAACGCAACGACGGATTGTAGAGAAAACCCAAGACAA